AATGTAGTAAAAACAACCATCAGGCTTTGTGTCTGCCTTAAAATAGAGCTCTGCCATCTCTCTGAACTGCTTTCATGTCAAAATAAAAGCTTTTACAGACATTTGACTGCAGATCACATCAGCAGGGTTAAATAAAGCACAAAACCTCTAAAACTGACAACAAAGTACAACAAGAACAAAACACAAAGAGGAACATTTGACTTCTGTTAAAGTTTGTAAAAAAATGAAAAATCCTTTGTAAGTTAGCCGCTGAGCAGAGAAATGAGTTTGAACCCTGTGTGGGTCACATGGAAGAGCTAAAACAAACGTACAGCTTTCCTGTTCAGGGCTGGGGGGACGTGCAGAAGAAAGGGCAGGTGCTGATGATGAGGATGGTGGAAGTGGTTCTGATGATGAGGATGATGTTGATGGAGGGGAGTCCTGTGACAAACTTCCCGGGTTGATCCAGAAAGCTCGTGTTTTACTGTCACCTTTTCACAGCCACACAGAGGAATCAAACAACACATTTACTTCAGTTGTTTTTTTCAAACAGGTGCAGGACTGTGGAAACAGCTTTCAGAGGGCGTCACAAAAAGGAGAAGTGTTCCTGAATATCACCTTTCTTGGTGCCGTCGCCCTGCTGGCCGCTCTGGGTACTGTCCCGACTGTCCATGCTGGGTCTCCTCTGTTTCTGAAGCAGCTTGTCCACTCGCTGGATGATGCACTCCAGAGACTTGTCCACGTTTACCCAAACTTTCTCCTGACAGGACAGAGACAAACGAAGGTTTCTAGAACTGAATTTACTGCTCTGGATTATCTTTGGAAAAACTGTCAAACTGACTAAAAAGACAAGCCATTGCTGCTGATTTAACAGTATCATTGTGACTTAGACTTTACAACCTTCCTTCTGACATCCAAAGCTTTCAACAATCAAGATCTTTATTTTATTTGAATTTATTTTCATCACCATACTTTCCTAACAGAGCACTTCACTCTCAGACTGCAGGTTTACTTGTGGTTCCTCGAGTTTCTAAAAGTAGAATGG